AGAGGCCTTTGTTCTGCCTGGGGTGCCCCGTCCCACGCACAGGGCCCCGAGGACTGCAACTGAAACAGCTTGGGGCGCGGCCCTGCGTGATCACGTGGTAAATCACACCACGTCAGCCCGGGAGAATCAAGATGCACGTCCCCTCTGCACTGAGACCCCTGGCCTCTCCTGCCTCGAGACCTCCCGCACGGATGTTAGTCCCCAGGATACTAAGCAATGGGGGTCACCACCATAGCAGTGTGGTTTGTCTGGACCTCACTCTGACTAGCTGTGTGCGCTAGGGTTGGGTCTGCCAGCGAGACTGCTGGCCTGGCTAATAGGGTGCTTGGATGTAGCTGTGACTCAGTGGTGTGCGCTTGGCATTGGCCGCTCACACCCATCTTCATCTCTGCCTGGTGACCATCAGAGGTGCTTAGAGCAGCTGCAGCCACACAGCTCAGCTCAATGCCTCGCTTCTCAGGGAGCCCCAGGCAGCCCTCCGCCGAGTTTCTGCAGCAGTCCACGCCTGCCTGCTGCCAGCGGCATTAAGCACCGAGTCGCATTAGTCACTTCCGTGAGCGTGTGCGGTTTATCATGCGCCATTTAGTACTAAGTAAATGGATATAAAGAGCTTTGTGAGAAAGTTTGAATCCAAAAATTTAACATTTCATTACAAACCACTTGTGCCCTTAACCCTTACCCAAGCTGTTGAATCCAGGACGCACGTGAAGGCAGAATAATCCCTCGTATTTGCAGGTCTTCATGTTTCATTCTTGTGTTTAAACCTTCCATAACTCTGTTCCCCAGTGGGAATCAAAAGGTGGGAATCAAAAGCCTAAAACCCTACATAACACTGCGGGGTTGTTTTTTCTCTTCTGTTTTTGCAACTGTCTTCTCTCCTGCCTGCGAGGAAGGGAGCCCTGGGAGTCCCACCTGCTCCTGCCCTTCACGAGCCCCAGCTGCCTGCCCGAAGGCCGGCTGGTGGGTCACAGGGCTGCCAGGTCCCACGGCTTGTGCCGGGCATTTAAGTTGGAGTGATTTGGTCAGGGCCTTGTTGACCTTTGCACCCAGTGTTGTCTTTGCCCAACCCCACAAGACAGCCTCGTGAGAGGGTGGGCGCCGGGTTCAGAGGCCCATCTTTCTGGGAGCCTGTTGGAAGGGAACACCGTTTTTCTTGTCAAGGCTGAAACACTTAACTCACAAAATAGTTCTGTTGCTGCTTTTCAGATGGGTTTTAGATACCTTTTTTAAAATTTTCACTAGAGGTGGGACAGGGCCAAGTGTGAGCGAGAGTGCGTTTGCTCAGATCCATCCCTGGCTGCCCGCTGGCTCTGGAGGAGGGCGAGGCCTCGGAGGGGCCCCAGGCAGCAAAGTCTGGACAAGCGATGCTTTTCATGTCCCCACCAGCAGGTTCCTTAATGGCTTCATAACTGTGAATGCTGCCTTTGCTCTACGGAGTGGGAGTAACGAGCATTAGCTAAAGAGGCAAATGGAAAAAGTAAACCAGCACATTAAGTGCTTTTTTTGTCTCCCAGCTTTAAACAAGCCACTTTGCTGCAAACCAATGATCCTGCCGTTTGGGTGTTTTTTGCCAGGTTAATAAAAACAAGAAGTGGCGTGAGCTGGCAACCAACCTAAACGTTGGCACTTCGAGCAGTGCCGCGAGCTCCCTGAAAAAGCAGTACATCCAGTACCTGTTCGCCTTCGAGTGCAAAATCGAGCGCGGGGAGGAGCCGCCGCCGGAAGTCTTCAGCACCGGGGAGACCAAGAAGCAGCCCAAGCTGCAGCCGCCATCTCCTGGTGAGTGCGGGCGCTGCAGCCGCTGCCGGCAGAGGCAGAGGCGGAGGGCGGGCCGCCGGGATGCAGGCCTTTGTTCTGTGGGCTCCAGTGCGCCCCCTGGCAGTGTTCGGGGACGAGGAAACGGCCCGGTGTCCCTTCTGGTCAGCACTTTGAAGGCCACGCTCCTTAGCTTTGCCTTTTAGTCAAATAGACTGGAGCTCTGAGCTGTCTGCCTTTATTCCTCAGACAGGTGTTTTTAAATCAGTGGTTCTCAACCTTCCTAATGCCTCGACCCTTTAGTATAATTCCTCATGTTGTGGTGACCCCCAATTTCATTGCTACAAATTGAAAATAATTAAAGCATAGTGATTAATCACAAAAACAATATGTAATTATAGATGTGTTTTCCGATGGTCTTAGGCGACCCCTGTGAAAGGGTTGTTAGACCCCCGAAAGGGCCATTCGACCCCCAAAGGGGTCGCGACCCACAGGTTGAGAACCGCTGTTTTTAATAGTCCACCTCACTGTCAAAACGACTCCCCCAGGGAGCCGTGCTGGCAATCTGCACCCCGGAAAGTCCCCCTGCAGTTTGACAGGCAGCTCACAGCTCGGCCTCAGGCCAGCAGTTAGCTTCGACCGCGGTCAGGAGTGTTAGGAACGATGGCTGGGCACCTGAGTTCTCACACGAAAATCCAAGTTGGTTCTTGCCTGTCTCCTGTCTTCTCTCACCTGATGGCGACCCCGCGTTCCTTCAGCTCCCGCCAGCAGCCCTCATTCTGCCTGTGAGACAGCTTGCTTGACTCTGTGAAACCATTGTGTTCAATAAACACAGTATGAGGGGTCATCCTGTCCTGGGTGGCGGCCTCTCTGAAGTTCAGCAACACTGTCCCCGCGTCTAGTTCCGCCACATCCGGCCCTGGGGTGGCCATTCCTGACCGTCTGCCCTGCACACGCGGGCCGAGCGTCCTGCGCTTCCTGTCACACAGCTCGCTCTGGGCTGAAATCCACGCCTTATCATTTAGTCTCATATCAGACTCGGGACACAGATTGTTTTAAATCCATAAGAAAACTAAGGCACATCAGTCTAAGGAACTGGCCCAGAGTCAGAGCCACAGTGCGGAACGGCCCGGCACTCCCTGCCTGCGCGGTATGTGAAGCACCTTGTAATGGGGAGCGTTGACACCTGGAAGATGGTATCGGTGACCGAGGGAAAAAGTGGTTTCTCTTCATTTAGCTGCTCCTGGGTGGCAGAGCTGACACCGGAGGCGCTAGGCCGGGCCTCGCGTAAATGCTGTATTGACACACCTGGTTTCAATCTGGCATTGCTAAGGACCAGCAGAAAGCTTCCTCTCTGACCCCAGCCTTTGCCAGTGACCTTGTGCCTGAAAACCTGGAACCTAATTTTAAAAATCTCCCCACATTGAATTCACAGAGTAAAACAAGCTGCCTATGAACAGCTCTGACACTAGATTTCCAAAATAAAAACCCAGTGGGGTGTAGGAGCCGAAGAGGTGACGTCTACAAAGATCTGAAGGTGCATTTCATTCGCCGGGAAAGAGCTGGTGCAGTGAATGGGCCGCACTTGCATGTGGAGAATAGTCCTCCCGGCGCCCGCTGGGCAGGTCCCTCCGAAAGTGCGCCTTGCCTTTCCCTCTTTCTACACTGCAGTGTTCATGGCAGCGCTATCGTTCTACCTGCACAAAGAGCATGGATTGCAGATGTGCTTCTGACAATCCGTCCTCCTCAGTGGCCTGTGGGGCAGGCAGCAGTGGGGAGCGCTTCCTCCATGCAGTCGGCGGGGTCTGGAGGGCAGGCGCGGGGTATGCAGGGGCCAACCGTCATCTCAGGTGATCTGTGCTCAGCAAGACAGACAGGGACGGGTCCCTGAGGTGGTGACTCCCCTCAGTCCGTGGCCAGAGCCAGGCGCTTCCCAGCACCCCTGGGTCTGTCCTCTCGGATTCTGGGACTGTCACCGAGGAACTCGTCTCTGAAACGTTTTTACTATCAAAGAAGGAAAAAAATTGTCAACAATTTGCCATATCAGGGTCTTGCATACTACAACATTTCCAAAAACTAAATTTCAGCCAAAATGTGTGTCTTTGAGGTCAGTTTTTCCCATGGGCACATAATTGTGGTTGACTCCTTACCTGCACATCCAGGCAAACGTCAGTTAAAAGATTCCTACAAAACATTCTAGATTATTTGTTTAAATCGGGAAGGGAACCTTTTTTTTTTTTTTTTATCAAGGGCCATTTGGATGTTTATATCATTTGCAGGCCATACAAAATTATCAAGTTAAAAATTAGCCTGCTCTATTTGGTCAAACATTTAATTAACTCACCCCGAAGGCTTTGGCAGGGCCAGGTCAAATGATTTCTCAGACCTCGGGCTAGAGTTCCCCACCCCTGGTTTAAATGCTCACTAAACTGCTGGCGTCTAGCCCCAGCAGGTCCAGGGGTCCCCAAAGGTGTGGACGGAGTCGGCTAAGAAGGAATGACACAGAGACAGCGTTCAGTTGATCAGCAGCCTAGCCAGGATCTCATGCCC